ATTAATATTGATGGGTTGTTTTGCTGCCGCTAAGCGTCTTCCTGAGCACTGCCTGAAACTGAAATCTTGTTAGAGGAGCGGAATTAGTGTGAATAAAGAAATATCCATCTGTGCGTGGCGCTGCCAAAAATCGTGTCAAAGCTTTGACGGGCACAGTATGGACCGAGGGACTGCTTGAATGGCGATCGTGTGCGGCGGCCTTGTTGATCTGTTTTGGAGGCCATGAGGACCACCTCGGCGGATTGGTCGCTAGCGAAGATAGGTCATTCAGCAACAACGCCGCTGTGATGAGTCGCTGATTGAACCGGCAACTACCTCACTTACCCTGAAAAACCCAAAAATGTTAGCAGGTATGCCGCTGAAAACATAGAAGCTTCATATGAAGACCTACATACAGTGGGGAGGAGTTGCACAATGCGAGTTAGCAGATCGAGTGTAATCGGCTGGCGATGTATCTGGCTGCCTCGATCTCCTGGCCATCCCTGCAATGGCTTTCTGCACTAGGAAGTGGTTAGACATGCACTGCAAGGAATTGAGCTTGTGTATGGAGGATAATGCTGAAATGTAAGAGCGGGCGTGCTGGGAGACCTACCTGATAATGAGAGATAAGCTATAAAATGAAGCATATGATCTAAAGGTACAGGCCATATGTCAGGCAGGGAGTACACCACCGAAATAGCCAGTAGTGACTGTACGCCGACTCATAAGTCCTCCAAGTGTTTGCTGCCATCGAGTTTGCTACTAGACTGTTTGCTTCCCAGCTGTTAGATGAGCCAGATGTCCGCTGGGATTCCTGAGGCCTGATGATCCGCCTGTGGGGCTGCTGCTCGAAACCGTGACCACTGAAATCTCGAAGAAGCGTCTGCTATTATGTTGGCCTGAGTTGGTATATACTGTGCTTTGAAGTGTATGTTGTTCTGCAAGCATATGAGGACCATTAAGTCTGAGCAGTTTCATTACCCTTTGCCCTTTGGCAGTGTGCCTGTTGATAATACTCACCACGGCCTGGTTGTCACAGAACATTAGTACCCTTTTGTTGGCCAGACTGCTGCCCCATATCGCCAATGCCACGACTATAGGAAAGAGCTCTAAGCATGTAATGTCTTTCACCCATCCTTGTTGTATCCATAGATCTGGCCACCTGGCATTGGCCCAATGACCTTGGAAATATGCACCCCAACCCTGAGCCAGCTGCATCTGTATAAAGTTGGAGTATTGGGGTTGTAACCCAACCCTGTTCAAGAATAAGGTTGTGCCATTGTGCCTGGCAAGAAACTGAAGCCACAGATTAAGGTCTTCCACGCATACCCGCTGATACCCGTATCCTGTGGTGTGGCTTCGCGTTGCCCTTTTGTCGCGTCGATGAGGCGCGCGCAAAATGGGCGACCCATGGGAATTGCCTTGCATACAAAGTTTAGCTTTCCCACTATTGACTGCAGCGTTATGCAGTGTAACTTTCTTGGATGATGAGTCTACCAGCTGTGACAGCTGATGGACCAGGATATGCTATCTTGTCCTCGGTATCCTGATTTCACCCGAGCCGTGTCTATGGTGAGGCCAGAATGTCAGACAAGTTGTAGGTTGTACAGTCTTCTGGTGGCGATAGGCACGCCCAGATTATCAGCCAGTTGCAAAGAGGTGTTAAGCATGTTGGAGCATTTGCTTAGGTCCACTGCCGCCAGGATAAAATCATCAAGGTAATGGCGATGTCCTGACTGCACGTGGTGGCCTTGATAGCCCATTCAATGAAAGTGCTGAATGACTCAAATAGGGCACAAGAAATGGAACAGCCAAAGGGAGGCATTTATCAATGTAAAATTGTTCTTGAAACTTAATGCCGAGTAGCTGAAAGTCCGATGGTACCACAGGCAGGGGCGAAAGGCTGATTTGGCGTCAAATTTTGACATGTAAGCACCCTGCCCAAGTTTTTGAATCATGGCTACAGCCTGGTCGAAACTGGTGTACTGCACTGTACATGCTTCCTGTGGTATAAAATCATTGATTGATGAGCCTTGAGGATCACGATAAATGATGGATGAGGCGAAGGCAGCCTCACCATGAACTGATGAATCAACTTTCTTAGGCACCAAGCCGATTGGGGAAACTATAAGAGATTGCACTGGTCTGTAATGAAAATGGGCCTGCCATGCGACCCAACAAATTTCTTTTGCAGCTTTTGCTCCACTATTAGTGGCTGTTCCCTGGCAGATTTAAGGTTGACAGCGTCCCGAATGACCCGTGGCCCTTAAGTAGTTTAAGCTGAAACCCTTACTGAAACCCTCCTGTAGTAACTGAGCTGCTGCTGGATTGCACAATTTATATTGCTGCAACCATTGTTCCAAGCAAGGGATGTTAATTGGAGTTGGGGCCGTGTGAAATAGCTCTGCCTGGCAAGGTAGGTTGGCGCTTAAGAGATTGGGCGGTGGTGACTGTGTTCTTTTTGCCACGAAAACAAGACATGGCCATGCCGCCTATGTTACATGCTGAGCACCTGTGTGCATAACGGCACATCTGACCCCTCTACGCCAAGTGCCACGATTGAAGTTTCTACATACCTCTACCAATGCGCTGCTGAGTGTAGGTGGAGGCTCTGGCTGGGTAGGCAAATGCCTGCTGCTTGTGGCTGGGGAGCATTAACTGCAGCCACAGTTGTCCGTCGATGGCACCCCGCATGACCGAAATGGGTCCCTCTCCATTTTTGCCTAAACTGGACGTCGTTACTGAGACCAGCAGTCACCGCCAAATCGTGATGCGGCACCGCTGATCGTCTCCATGTGCTGAGCATTTGTTGTATCTTGTTGACATCCGCCTGGCTCTATTACCACGCTGATAAAGTCAAGAAAGCAGATGTCAAGCCCCAATGTTTAATTGACGGACAGACAGCTGCTTGGGTTTAAAAACTACCTGTCCTGAAATATCAAGCTCCATTGTGAAGTTGGAACTCTCCTGTGCTGCCTGGTTCTCTGGTGGCAATAGGGACCTCATATCTACAAATTCCCCACGATGGATCTTTTCCCTCACTGCTTGCTTCACATGGAAACTTATAGTCTCCGCCCTGAAGTTCAGCTGTTGATTTGACAGTGCCTCTGCATTAATCAGTGACTCCGGATTAGAGAAGGGTTGCCCCTGTATACAGAAGTTTGGCATAGCGGTGGGGACCTGCGGTGGCTGTAACTCAACATCAGGCCTAACAGAGCTTGGAATTAACAACTCCGGCGAAATACTAATATGCCCAAAGTGAGACGTACCTTGATTAGTGGATGACGGAGCCATCGGGGTGATGAAGCTTGGCTCCAGCGGGGGTGTCACATTGATGGTTGCCGGAGGAACCTCACGTGGTGTAGACACAGAGGGTGGTGCGGGTTGGTTGGCCTGAGGGGCAGCGCTCCCAGGGACAACACCAGAAGCGCGTGCCCCCTTTGCCTGACGCCTGGCAACCTTAGGGCGTCCCCTGACCACAGCGTGGTTGATGGCTGCCTTGCGCTTTGGTGGCATGATGAGTTGCTCGGAAAGAAAGTTGTACAATTATTTAAAACAATCAAGAATTCAGATGAAAAGGACGTAATGTGATAGCGGATGCCAATTAAGTATTAAGTTAATTCAGAATTTTTACGAGATAACAAAATTTGAGCGAAGATCGAGAAATTATTATGGATGAAGCAAGATGGTGAACCTGTCAGGACAGCATGCAGAATAGAAAGGAAACGGACGTGACGTATGCCTGCGGATGTGACATCACTCCGGAAGTGACGTAGCTACTATTATGGAATGCGGAAATAATACACTGCCACGTGCGTTGCTACACTGGATACTTATCATAAGATAAGTGTATGAATACTTTGCAAAAGAATTGTATATTCCACCCATCCCCTTTTATCAAATTATGCCGCCTTAGTACCCTAAAGGTTAAGACAGATATTTCACGAACTACACTGCCGACTGTGTGTTAGCCGCATGCCGAAATGAAGATGAGTAGAAATGACATAATTCAAGGTGAAGTTAAACGTTACATATCCGAGTGTATTTCACTTGCCAGAGCAGTGCTAGAGCTGTGCGAATGTAAATGCTGCCTATAAACCCATTTAGCAACTAATGCTAAATGCCATTAAAGCAATTAGTTGTGTAATGATACAGCATCACAGTATCATATCACAATACAGGTCTCATGATACAATACATCCATTTACAACTGCTGTGTCACAATACATACAATACATTACAAGTTATATTGATGTAAAAACAATTGAAAAGTAACAAACTGTCAAAGAGTCGTATTGCACCCACATTATACATATCACAGTGTGGCCCCTTCATATAATTCCACATCTAATGTCATGTCTATGGTAAAGACATTTAAGACCTCAAACACTTACCATGTGAGCCTTCCTTGATCCCCCGTGAAAACCTTACCTTATGGCTTGGGCTCGAGTCTCCACAAAGGAAGCTTTTCAACTGTCTGTTGAAAGCCATAGATCAGCTGAGAGCTGAACCAACAAACATCAGTTTCCCAGGTAGTACTTGCACTTTACAAAGTGTTACAGTGTTTAGGTGGAATTGCAGTATCCTGAAAGTTCATTTGTTGGAGGAACCAGATAATGCACATCTATTACAGGCACATGTAACATTGTTAATGGTTATTTGCCTATTTCTATAAGCAAGTTGTCTGTGTATGCTTGTCAGTACAAAGTGGCAATAGCAAGAGGATTAAGTGGTGGTATATACACGTTTGTTGTGTATAGTTAGATATATGTATAACTCTGGCTGACATTAGCTAACTCTGGCTGACATTGGCCACTTTGGCCACTGAATGTTTCGTAGTCCATCAATGTTTGTTTTTTTCTTGAAAATCATCACATAAAAACAGGATGATCATAATGATGAGTTGTACAGTTATTCACACCATGAATGTGACCAGTCAAACGTTGTCAAGGCTATGTGTTATGTGAAGTAAATGTTGAAAGTAGATGTGATGATGTAAAGCTGCTTCCCCTGTGTTCCAGGCTGAGCGTGGCTACTATGACACCTACGAGACCTTCAGTGGCTGTACCAGCGTGCAGGGTAGAGAGGCAGCCAAGAAAGAAATGTACAATGCTCACAACGACTATGTGCTTCAACTGAGGGCTTCCAACAGAATTGTTGACGAGTTCCAGGAGGTTATTCCACAAGTATTGGAAGTGAGTTAACCCAGTGTTTCCATAACAGTGTTACAAACCTTAGCACATGCTGCAGTCTTGAAAGCACCCCACATAAAAAACTCACAGATATTTAGTTCATCTGACTGAAAGTCAAGTCAGCATATGTCATGTCATGGCTGGCTCAGTCTTCAGTCATCATGAGTGCTGTATGTAAATATCTTCTCCACACAGACTGTTGGCTCAGAGAACCTGAACCTTAACTGGGCATGCTTGTCTCAGCTAGTCACAAACTGGGGGGTAGCCAAGTGGTTACCAAGTTTTCACTCAAGGTGAAGACCCAGGGTCAATTCTCACACTTTGGTGCCCCTTATAATCATATTGCTGGAAAATTGCGAAAAACAGCATAAAACCATATTAATCCATTTGTTTCAGCCAGTGTTTCAACTACATCAACATTGAAAAACTAATGTGTTTTTAAAATATTATGTACTTTGATATGTGTCAAGTTTGTAATTAGGCTTATCAGTGAAAGGTCTGTTGCATTATGTACAACATTTCATTATGTACTTAGATTCTGCTACCTGCTGTATACACTTTCTACTTCGAAACATCTAGACCAATGAAGTAGAAATTTGGCATGCATGTTTTGTCCAGTGACTTGAACAAATACTGCCCTATATCATTTTCTAGTAATTCAGGTTCACCAGAAAATATCAAAGCAACGAGAACTTTCTGTAAAAAACACAAGTTTTTAACACAAGTGTTTGTTTGTTACAGGAACTGGAGGAAATATATATTGACACCAGTAACACTATCAATGTAGCCATAGAAAGTCACGCCCTCTTGCTGCTCACCAAGGTGAGTACTGCACACTACCATGGATGAAACTGGCTTTATATTAATGCCCTGTGTATAAGTATCATGACATTTGCTGAAGTTAACACAAAGTTGATTTGTTGCAGGCCAAAGAACAACATAGAAGATATGATGATCTACTAAAGATATGTCGCCAAGTAAACCCTCATGTGGACATTTCCCACTTTGTCAAAACAATGTGTCAGGAGCAAGGAGCAACCAGTACATCCATCCACCACTTCCTCCCTGCTGACCTGGCAGTCTCTACCACTGAGGTGAGTGACATCACACATACTTCCTCCCTGCTGACCTGGCAGTCTCTACCACTGAGGTGAGTGACATCACACACACTTCCTCCCTGCTGACCTGGCAGTCTCTACCACTGAGGTGAGTGACATCACACACACTTCCTCCCTGCTGACCTGGCAGTCTCTACAACTGAGGTGAGTGACATCACACACACACTTCCTCCCTGCTGACCTGGCAGTCTCTACCACTGAGGTGAGTGACATCACACACACTTCCTCCCTGCTGACCTGGCAGTCTCTACCACTGAGGTGAGTGACATCACACACACTTCCTCCCTGCTGACCTGGCAGTCTCTACCACTGAGGTGAGTGACATCACACACACACTTCCTCCCAGCTGACCTGGCAGTCTCTACCACTGAGGTGAGTGACATCACACATACTTCCTCCCTGCTGACCTGGCAGTCTCTACCACTGAGGTGAGTGACATCACACATACTTCCTCCCTGCTGACCTGGCAGTCTCTACCACTGAGGTGAGTGACATCACACACACTTCCTCCCTGCTGACCTGGCAGTCTCTACCACTGAGGTGAGTGACATATCACACACTTCCTCCCTGCTGACCTGGCAGTCTCTACCACTGAGGTGAGTGACATCACACACACACTTCCTCTCAGGTGACCTGGCAGTCTCTACCACCACTGAGGTGAGTGACATCACACACACTTCCTCCCTGCTGACAGTCTCTACCACTACTTCCTTCCTCCCTGCTGACCTGGCAGTCTCTACCACTGAGGTGAGTGACATCACACACACTTCCTCCCACCCAACCTGGCAGTCTCTATCACTGAGGTGAGTGACATCACACACTTCCTCCCTCCTCCTGGCACCCAACCTGGCAGTCTCTACCACTGAGGTGAGTGACATCACACACACTTCCTCCCACCCAACCTGGCAGTCTCTACCACTGAGGTGAGTGACATCACACACACACTTCCTCCCACCCAACCTGGCAGTCTCTACTACTGAGGTGAGTGACATCACACACACACTTCCTCCCACCCAACCTGGCAGTCTCTACCACTGAGGTGAGTGACATCACACACACTTCCTCCCACCCAACCTGGCAGTCTCTATCACTGAGGTGAGTGACATCACACACACTTTCTCCCAGCTGACCTGCTAGTGTCTACCACTGAGGTGAGTGACATCATACACACACATTAGAAAGTGCCATTTAGAAAGTGTGCAAATGTAACACAACCCTTGGGTTGAAGTGTAAGTGGAACTACTCTTCAAAGCTTCACTATGTTACATTAGGATCATAGGGAGACTAGTCTTCAAGCCTTAATGGCCAAACCAGGTTGAATTCTTTTTTTAAATGTACTTTTTATCAATAAAGTCACAAACACAATTTTTAGCAAATTAAATGTACTTGCACTTAAAAAGTAATGACATTAAAGCTCAAAAAAGTGTCTAGTAGTATGTTTGTCATGTCAAATGTGTGAGATGTGTGTTGGAAAATAAACAAAATGTCTGTTCCTGATGGTATACGGTCTCATATTAGGTCAGTAATAGCCGTCTTGGATTTCCACCAACAGTATACATCTTGTATGGGTGTGTTGTTCTGTACTCTGATTGATCAGTCTCACATTAGGCAGGAAATGTGAATTCCTTTATGTGATGAGGAACACTTTTCATGGATGGACAACTGTCTATACATAAGAAGTTTAGTCTGCCAGCTTCTAAATGCCACATGAAGAAGTAAATCCTTAATGTGTAGTCTGTTTCAACTTCCAGGTTGCAATGAAGAATCAACTGATCATTGATGGTTACACAGAGCCAATTATAAACCACAAGAGGCAAGAGCTCCAGAGAGGCTCAGGAACTCACATCTTTCATCAAGCGCAGTCAAGATGTCACCAGCTCCCTGATCAATATATGTCAAAGGTAGGTCCTCCCATACTCTCTAGAAAACTGTCACATGATACAGCCTGTACGACTGCCTGTGACAAACCATACTTTGTGTGAAGCATGTTCTATAACTAAACTGTTTTAGTCATTAATGATGACAAAGAGATCTGTTACCAACAACTGTGACTGTCACTGACTCAATGAGAGGAATGTCAGTCATGAAACATGATATACTATTTCTGACATTTCTAATTCATCTCTCTGCTATTGTCCTGCATAAATAACAACTATGCATATATTGTTCCATGTGTAAAATTACCTTTAATCTTGACATACTTAATTTTTATTGATTATTCACAATTGGTTTACCGGGATAGTTACATTTGAAGCATCATGTTTGAGTTAAGAACCACCTCCTGCCATTGATCCTGTGCCACACAGTGTACGCCTGTCAAGGATAATTCCCTCAGTACACAAGTCATGGACAGTGTTGTTATTAACAAGGCTGAGCTGACATAAATTGTGGACATGGTAATCATATGAGTGAGCAGGCAGAAATAAAGGCCTCAGTATATTGAATAATCTGAGACAGAATCAGGCAGACTGGGCATCGACCTGATCTTCATCATCACCTTTGATAAACCAAGAAGCTGTGTTATTCCCAAAACGGGCTATCCCCTGAGTGGCAGATGTTTGTCATTGTCAGGAGGATTTCACCTGGCATTTGTTGTTATGTGTTCTACATTATTTTCATTTTTCAAAATGTAATGTCAAGCATTTGTGGATAAGTTTGCAGTATTAACATCTGTGTAGTTGCTATGTTTAGTTTCAAGAAATGAGACATGTGAAGGAGTAGGAGGACTTGCATCATACACAGAAAGGGTGTATCACAGCCAATACACAGTGTATCACATGGAATTTGCAGCATGCTGCGTACATTAATATACTGTATAACACATGCAATATACACTGTGTAATATACAAAGTGTACATGCATTGTGTACAGTATACAGCATACACAATATATCACATGTAATATACACTTTGCAATGTATAAAATACAATATATTACATACAATATGATGCCTGCAATACACAATATATCACATGTAATATACACTTTGCAATGTATAAAATACAGTATGTCATGTGCATTGTGTGCAGTACACTTTGTGCAATACACAAATAACACATGCAAATACAATTACAGTCAAAACCCGATGAGTCGAATCGCTGTGGACCAAGTAATAAATTCGACTTATTGATGTATTCGAGACATAGGTATGTCTATGAGGGTAGAAAAAAGATGATCCGGTCCTAATTCCTCCACCTAAGCATATGTTTACCTCATGATTTCCCTATCACTAATAGGGGCACCTTATCAGTTACAGTCTGATTAGCACAGACAGTGATTTTCGTAAAATCACTAATCTGCCTTTTGAACTCACCCATCAATGGCGGAAAGGTGTGAGCCGCGCTGGTTTGTTAATTGGATCAGTTTGCTACACCAATCAACTTCTCATTGACTGGATTCGGCTTATGTATACAAGATTGCTGTTGTTTGAATCTCATGGGACCAAATTTCCTTCTCGACTCATCGTGTGTATTTACGAGACGAATTCGAGTAACCAGTATTCAAATGATGACAACTATAACAGGGAATGGTCGGGACCGACAGGTACTTCGAGTTATGCATAATATTCGAGACACCGGCATTCGACTCATCGGGATTTGACTGTATATATGTTAGTTGTTTGTAAAATTGCAAAACCGCTGTTTAACTCGTTCTTAATTACCGAAGGAATGGGGTGCGTAAAAGGTCAAGGGTGAAGGCTGTACTGGTCAGGAGGACCTGTGGCTGGAGGCTGGATCTGCAACTTCATGCAGTAGTGGACCAGCTTCTTGTCTCAGGTCAGCCATGCATTGCATCAGAGAGAAGCATGTGGTGCTGTAGCCTGGAACCTGGAGAGAGCATCAGCGATAGTGTTATCATTTGTCCTAACAAACTTTACCCCAAACAGAACAACATGCTGGAAGCACTGCATAAAATTGCACCACTGTAGGGTCAAGTAGATTCAAATTTCATATTTTCTTTCATAGTACACAACACAATGCTGTGAATGAGTGATGCTATTGGCTCTCTGACCACTACTCAGAGAAATTCATCATAAAATGTGTCTGCCACACCTGTGCATTATCAAGGGGATAACGATGATTCAAACTGGATAAGATCAGACAAAATATATTAAACACACTGAATCTACAATGTTGCATCGGATATGTAGATGATTTTACTTCTTGCCAAGTATAAGTTCAAAGCGTCCCCCTCCCATAGCCCACAGCAGAGATACTGAGGAGTGTTTGTTATTAAGTGTAACCCATGTGCTCCATGTGATATTACTGAGGTTACACTACTCTCCCTCGCCACAGCCATCTTGTTTTCCTGGAATCCAATTCTGCCCCTTGTGATGTTAAAGCTGTTACAGTGTTGCAAGGATGTGATGGAGACACTCTGCATGTTGTAATGACCTGAAATTTGCATATTAATTATTCATCAGAAGAATATTTTAAGAGTGACATTTGTACTGTGCTTGTATATTTCTACCTACCATTTCCTGTTAGTGAAGAGGTTACACTACGGCTCTCAAAATGAATGGACTTGTTCAATTACATGTTGTTCAAATTCAAAATGGATTCATGTTTGTGGGGAATAGGCTGGTTTGTTACATACAGTTTGTGGAGGTCATCATCAGTGACAGATTGAGCACAATGAAGTAGGTTACCCATACTGTCTCTTTCACATTTCTCAGTAACATTTTGTTTTGTTTAGATGACAGTGTAAACCTTTTGAATTCACTGATCAGGGATGACCGCTTCTCCTTTGCTGCACACTGTTAATGGATAGCACTTGCTGTCATCTTCCTCATGGAGGCTGATAAACAATACACATAACATGCTGTACACTATTAATGGACAGCACTTGCTTCCATCTTCCTCATGGAGGCTGATAAACAATATACATAACATGCTGTACACTATTAATGGACAGCACTTGCTGCCATCTTCCTCATGGAGGCTGATAAACAATACACATAACATGCTGTACACTATTAATGGACAGCACTTGCTGCCATCTTCCTCATGGAGGCTGATAAACAATACACATAACATGCTGTACACTGTTAATGGATAGCACTTGCTGTCATCTTCCTCATGGAGGCTGATAAACAATACACATAACATGCTGTACACTATTAATGGACAGCACTTGCTGCCATCTTCCTCATGGAGGCTGATAAACAATACACATAACATGCTGTACACTATTAATGGACAGCACTTGCTGCCATCTTCCTCATGGAGGCTGATAAACAATACACATAACATGCTGTACACTATTAATGGACAGCACTTGCTGCCATCTTCCTCATGGAGGCTGATAAACAATACACATAACATGCTGTACACTATTAATGGACAGCACTTGCTGCCATCTTCCTCATGGAGGCTGATAAACAATACACATAACATGCTGTACACTATTAATGGACAGCACTTGCTGCCATCTTCCTCATGGAGGCTGATAAACAATATACATAACATGCTGTACACTATTAATGGACAGCACTTGCTGCCATCTTCCTCATGGAGGCTGATAAACAATATACATAACATGCTGTACACTATTAATGGATAGCACTTGCTGCCATCTTCCTCATGGAGGCTGATAAACAATACACATAACATGCTGTACACTATTAATGGACAGCACTTGCTGCCATCTTCCCTCATGGAGGCTGATAAACAATACACATAACATGCTGTACACTATTAATGGACAGCACTTGCTGCCATCTTCCTCATGGAGGCTGATAAACAATATACATAACATGCTGTACACTATTAATGGACAGCACTTGCTCATCTTCCTCATGGAGGCTGATAAACAATATACATAACATGCTGTACACTATTAATGGACAGCACTTGCTGCCATCTTCCTCATGGAGGCTGATAAACAATATACATAACATGCTGTACACTATTAATGGACAGCACTTGCTGCCATCTTCCTCATGGAGGCTGATAAACAATACACATAACATGCTGTACACTATTAATGGACAGCACTTGCTGCCATCTTCCTCATGGAGGCTGATAAACAATATACATAACATGCTGTACACTATTAATGGACAGCACTTGCTGTCATCTTCCTCATGGAGGCTGATAAACAATACACATAACATGCTGTACACTATTAATGGACAGCACTTGCTGCCATCTTCCTCATGGAGGCTGATAAACAATACACATAACATGCTGTACACTATTAATGGACAGCACTTGCTGCCATCTTCCTCATGGAGGCTGATAAACAATATACATAACATGCTGTACACTATTAATGGACAGCACTTGCTGCCATCTTCCTCATGGAGGCTGATAAACAATACACATAACATGCTGTACACTATTAATGGATAGCACTTGCTGCCATCTTCCTCATGGAGGCTGATAAACAATACACATAACATGCTGTACACTGTTAATGGATAGCACTTGCTGCCATCTTCCTCATGGAGGCTGATAAACAATACACATAACATGCTGTACACTGTTAATGGATAGCACTTGCTGCCATCTTCCTCATGGAGGCTGATAAACAATACACATAACATGCTGTACACTATTAATGGACAGCACTTGCTGCCATCTTCCTCATGGAGGCTGATAAACAATACACATAACATGCTGTACACTATTAATGGACAGCACTTGCTGCCATCTTCCTCATGGAGGCTGATAAACAATACACATAACATGCTGTACACTATTAATGGATAGCACTTGCTGCCATCTTCCTCATGGAGGCTGATAAACAATATACATAACATGCTGTACACTATTAATGGATAGCACTTGCTGCCATCTTCCTCATGGAGGCTGATAAACAATACACATAACATGCTGTACACTATTAATGGACAGCACTTGCTGCCATCTTCCTCATGGAGGCTGATAAACAATATACA